AAAAAAAAAAAAAAAAAAAAAAAAAAAAAAAAAAAGGCCTTAAAAGTTGACTACCGTAACCATACGAAGCCCGGTTGGAAGCAGAACTCGGACGATGTCGGACCAAAGAAGTTAAAAGAACTCGTACTCACTCCAAGCAGAAAATTCACAAATGTCAACAGGCGTACAACAAGGGGATTAGTACGGCTCGTTGTACGCCTGTCGAAATTTAAAATTCACAAATTCCAACAGGCGTACACCAATCTTTTTAGGTCCGGCCGGGCATCGGCTCCCGGAACACCCTGGTACACCCAGATTACATGGACATTGGACAATTCTAAGGCACCCAAATATCCACCTAATGTCCAATAATGTATTAATGTCCATGTAATCTGGGCTTGCCAGGGTGTTTCCAGGACCACTGCCCGACCGGGCCGAAAACAATTGAACAAAGGGGAAAAAAAACGTTTATTCAAAATTCGGTCAGGAATTTCCATGGACCCTGAGGCAAAAGTTGTTCAGTTTATTTTTCTGCATAACATAGTCATATTTCAGATTTTTTTAATTTTTTTGTACTTCTTTTCCTGCTGGAGTGTTCTTCTTTTTGAGGTAACGCACTCGTAAAATGAATACGAGAAACCGTTCTGGTATTTTTTTGTAGAGCATTGCATACTTCATATTTTTTGCATGTTACTGTTTTTGTGGATATTTGTCGTTCCTGGTCGTCGTTGAAAAGGAAAAAGTACTTCGTAACAGGTTTGCTTGAGAGAAGGTTAACAGACCCCCCAATTTTCACCCTCATTAAGATTACTTGGTTATTCACATGTTGATTTAAATGTAACGCAATTATGTAGTATTTTATATAGAGTCTTTTATATAATTTTTTATCAGATTTTCTATGTCAGTGTACAATATTGAGAGGAAAGAGAGGGCGAAACAGATTCGCCACATCCAAGAAAGCACCCGATATCAACGCATGACACTGTACAATATTGTCTTGTTATGAAATATTTAATACGAAAATAAGAATAGGAACGTAATTCAATGCTATTCATAACATCGAACTTCAACCTGGAAAAGGAGGGCAATTAGTACTCCGGTGAGACGTTTTTTTCATTTTTTCTCTTTTGGAGGTTTGTATTTGTTGATCGGGGTAATATCAGCCTCTTGCCCACTTCGTATGTGATTGGTTATTTCATGCATCGATAAATGGATCGGATCTTCCTGTTCTACGGTGTGCCTCAATGACATACGTTCTTCAATTCGTTTTTTTTTTCGTTCTTTTTTGAAAGACTTTTTTATCATGGCACCTCTGGAAATCGTTTTGGATCTGCTCTAATTGTCTCAGAAGAGGAAGAAGATCTATACACGATTATATAAATTCTATACCAACCAGGGTAACCGGCGTCCGGCCATTTGGGATGGGCCGAACGCCCGAACGTATGGGACCCCTTGGGGATGCGTTCGGCTGCTCGGGTCGAACGCGGACCTAAAAAAAAAAAAAAAAAAAAAAAAAAAAACCTCATCAAAAAAATCTGGAAAA